CGATCTTGAGCGTTGGTGGCATTTTGGCACAAAGCTTAGTCCATATGGTAAATTGGCACGATGACAAGTTTAGATCGTCAAGTGACACTCATAGTAAAAATTCAATAGTATTGTTACAATTTTCCTCAAGTTTATATCATGTATATGTAACTTAAATTAATATGACAATCGAGTTGAAAGTATGTTTAGATTTATGCAAGATTTTAACTTTTTAATCCACATGTATGAGTTGAAAATAAGATTAAATTATAGATAATTTAGATTGACATGCCAAAAATCTAAAAAACTATGGAGAATCTATTAAATAAATAAAAAACTATGGTGAAAAATCTGTAATAAAAAAAAAAGAGATGACAAACATAATAAATCGTGTTAAAATTAAAGGAAAATGTTGCCCTTTTACAATTTTGCGGAAACAAAAAAATAATTGGTGGGCTAATAACCAGGCAATGCGTACGTGTGCTTGTGACCTGGGAGTAAACGAAGTATGTATGAACTCTTACGATGATTGGCAGCTTCCTAAACGCAAGTCCACATGTATGAGTTGAAAATAAGATTAAATTATAGATAATTTAGATTGACATGCCAAAAATCTAAAAAACTATGGAGAATCCATAAATAAAATAAAAAAACTATGGTGAAAAATCTGTAATAAAAAAAAAAGATGACAAACATAATAAATCGTGTTAAAATTAAAGGAAAATGTTGCCCTTTTACAATTTTGCGGAAACAAAAAAATAATTGGTGGGCTAATAACCAGGCAATGCGTACGTGTGCTTGTGACCTGGGAGTAAACGAAGTATGTATGAACTCTTACGATGATTGGCAGCTTCCTAAACGCACGTGTCTTTGACTCGCCTCAACCTAAGAAGCTTCTGAACAGCGTATTGCCTACTAGCCCTATGAAGTAGAAGATGCAGTGATCGAAGAATTACAGTTCCGTGCAGTGAAGCTCAGGGAAATCCTGCTTCGTTGTTTCTGAATTCAGGTTGGTTCCATTTTCTGTATTTTTCTTGGGTTTTTTCGTTTCAATGTCTGAATTGCTTTATTGGGTTCGTTTGTCTTGGTCAAATTCTGAACTGGGTCTACGGAAGAAATTGAATTTTTCTTACTTTGAAGTCTTTTGAATCTAAAGGCTTGAGCTTTAGTGCTTGAAAGTTTGTTGTTTTTCTTCTGGATTAAGTTGGGTGAGAAAATTCTGTGCTGTGCCTGTAATTGGGGTAGTTGAGTGTTTTGTTAGTTGAATGAAGTTGAAATGTTTCCTTTTCAGCTAACTCCTTATCTGGGTTTTTGTACCTTTCGTTTCGAATTTCACTTTACTACAGCTTGTTCCAGCAGGTCCTTTTCAATTTTATTTACTGAAACTAGCTTGGTAAAAAAAGATCAAACGAAATCAATTGGGGTTTTGGGTTTGGATTTGAGATGTAGAATTTGGGTTTGTTTGGTTTTTATAATATATAATTCTGTGCAGTTTATACTTAGTTATGTTTGGGTTTATCAATGGGCACTGTTGACATTTTTTTTCAAAGCTTAAATTCACTGGCGAGTTATGGTAAAGATGAAAACAAAAGAATTTCAAAAAGTACAAGGAATAAGTGGTTGGTTTAGATTTCTAATTCAATGAATTTTGGTTTTGATTTGAAACCAGAATGCCAGCAAGCAGGCAATTTTCTCGGATAGACACTTTAGAACTGAAAGCTCAGATTGAGAAGAAGGTTGGGAGCCAAAAAGCGGGAAAGTACTTTAATCTTGTTACAAGATATTTGAGTCTCAAGATTAGCAAACCCGACTTTGATAGACTCTGCATTGCAACAATAGGGAAAGAAAATGTCTGTCTTCATAATCATTTCATCCGTTCAATACTCAAAAATGCATGCCTTTCAAGGACTCCCCCACAAAAAAAGAGCAACATTGCAAGTTCTCTGAGTGTTAAAGTGCCAAATGGATGTCAAAGAAGTAGTCTTCAACTGTTATGCAGAGATTTTCCCCAATCGCCTCGAAAAGGGAGAACTCCAAATCTTCGCGATCGCAGGTTAAGAGACGGTTTGGCCCCTTTTAGGCCTCAGGGTAAGAACCACAGTAGTGCATCTGAGGGTCCTATCTCCAAAATTCAAGAACAAGAAAAGGCAACCGAGCTGCTTTCTTTGGGAAGCAGACCACCTGTCTCTGTCGAAGATGGGGAAGAGGTTGATCAGGCTGCTGAAAGCCCAAGCATTCACAGCATGAGCCCTCTCACAGCTCCTCTTGGCATCTCAATAAATACTGGAAGGACAAAAAAGCTGTTAATTAAAGGATCAGGACCTGCTATTTACAATGACACTTGTCAGAGCAGTGGTGAGCTACCTGATACTTGTTCTTTAAGGAAGAGGTTGGAGCAAAAGTTGGCGATGGAGGGAATGGGAATCTCAGAAGATTGTGCCAACTTGTTGAATAATGGCCTTGAGATTTTCCTAAAGAGATTGATAAAGCCCTGTTTGGATTTAGCTGGTTCAAGGTCTGTGGAGAAACACGTAGATCAAGGACAGAGTCAAGCAAGTTCAAATGGGATGCGTCCAGTGAGATACGTACAGAGACCCACCAGGCCCAGTTTGGCATCTATATTAGACTTCCAGGTCGCAATGGATTTGAACCCTCTATTACTTGGAGAAGATTGGCCAACCAAACTTGAAAAGGTTTGCTTGCATGCGTCATAAAACAGAACTGACTGACTAGTACATGTTTCGGCTCAAGCCATAAGTTTTGATAATATTGATCTGACCTTGTTGCTTTGATAAGTGAGCACTGGCAGACAGTAGAAAAGTAGAAGTAATGGAAATTTAGATCAAGGCGTTTAGATTGTATAGGTGCAGAGCTGATTATAGCAGATACCTTGACATTGGGAGGTATAGACACATGGGGACTTGAATGTAGCTGTAACAAATAGGTCAGTGGCACTCCTCAACATATATCTATTGTTTTTATTGATTTTATCTTTCTTAATAGAGCTTATCTTCAAAGTTTCCAGGGCTGCAATTGTTGAGTTTCTTGTTACATGTGATTCTAGATCATTATTTGATAAGATAAACAGTATACTTGTTCGGTGTTTGAGCAGTGTGTATATGTCTACGTGTGCTTGTGTGTTGTGTGGTTGCTAACAGATTTCATCAACTTTAAGATGATATTCATTGAAAGCTTTTGGACCTTGATCTGCACATGGCAATAAAATCACTTCAGCGTTTTAGTATTACTAGGCGAAAATCCTTCAAATCAATTATTTGCCGTACACTCAAACACAAATATACATGAAGCACTTCTCGTGAATAAGTTAGGACTTCTGTCAAGCAGAAACAAAAGTTTAAGGTGGAAGGTATGTATTTAACTTCTTATGCATGTTTAGTACCCATAGCATATACTTCTGTTTTTAATATTCTTTACTGTGTATGGAAGAACAATTCATCATTTAAAAACCCTGCCTTCCCTTCTCCTCTCTTGTCTTCTCTAGACCATTTGACTGGGAAGAAAAGGGAAAACTCAAGTCCCTGAAATAAATAAATAAATGAAATCCCCAAAACAGTTACCACCACCAAACACAGATATTTGAAAGAAGAGAATGAGGACTAGAATAATCATTATATGATGTAAACTGGGGGGGGTGGGGGTGAAGGAAGTGGAAGATGGAGTGTGCAAACCCAAATGCTGAAGGAAATAGATATGCTTGAGTTGTGATTTAAGGAGTTGAAAAAAGAAAAAAAACATTGAGTCAAGTCTTCTTGTTGTTGAGTGTTGCATACAAATTTACTGACTGTAATGTGCTCCTGCATGCTCATTTTAGAATCGTGGAACAGTTTATCTTCAGTTTTTCACAAATCTGGGTCCTGTTTCCTTTCATTTGCACTCTCCCCCAACCAACTTCCCTTCTAGGTTATGGATCAATACAAATAGAATATTTGTAAGTTGTAAACAAATTGACTTTGTTTTTTATCATTCATCATACAGCTTGTGCATTTTAGGGATGAAATTTGAAAGGGGAATGCTAGTCGTGCCCCTACAAAGAGCACGAATAGCTCTCCCCTTTCAAAAATTGGGATTCTATAGTTTTAACATAAGTTTGCTGAGCTATTGTTTTGCATGGAGAACATTGCTTTCGAAGCCAGGTACACCCTGAGCTAGATTGATTGAATCTGTGGTCCCTGGCCCTATGAGTAGCTTGTTTATAGGGCAGCCATGTTTACCACAAATGTTGCTCAAATCCCCCTCTTGGTGCAAATTTTACTTGCATCATTACAGATAGACACAAGGGCATCTTGCATACAAATAATGCGAGTGAAGGTATTGACTCACTAATGTGATCATATATCAAGATGGGGATTGAAAATGATTTGTATAGATCTGTAGAAGATGACTCCTTTTTGGTGATGTCTCAAGACTTTTCCTTCAATAGCAGCCAGAGGTTGTGATGTCTCAAGACTTTTCCTTCACTAGCAGCCAGAGGTCAAGAACCTACCCTACAATATTAATCATCTGTTTGGGAAATAAATTTTAGTTGTTGGTATTACTGGGGAAACAATTTTATTTCTACTAACCTGATTTTTTTATTTTTATTTCACAACTCTCTGACCAGATTTAGTTCAATAAACAACTTGCGAGCATTGGTCGAGCCTAGTAGTGTGTGCTTGTAACTAAGCAGGCATTAAAGTGATGGATTGTTTACCAAACCCAAAACAAAAAACAGCTTGCAAGCATTTCATTGCATATGGGGTCTCACCAAATTAAGATGAAGATTAGCAAACAAGGATTGGTGGGAGAGGGTCTTATCACCAGATTAAGTTGAGGATTAGCAAACAATGATGCATACAGGAAACCATCAAGGAACAGTAGAAAGTCTGGAGGATAATGACAAGCTATAAGCATCTTGAAAAATCAAACCTCCTCTCTCAAAAGAAACAAGAAAGAAAAATAAGTTCTCCTTCAAATGACTCAGCGTTGGGGTCTACATGACCACAAAAGAAAGACTTCTAAAATAATGCAAGACACAGTCAAAAGTCTTTTTTTCTGCAAATTAATTTATAACGAGAATCTGGAAATTATTGTGGCCTTCATGTGAACAAATTGATTTCTAATAATTGCACGACTCTAATAACAAACCAGTGATAGTTTTACCTTCAAATGATAAAAGAAAGAAGGAAAAAGAAAGGAGTAAAATGTCAAATGAATTTAGTCAACATTCAGTTTTACCTTCAAATATATATATATATATTTTTTTAACCCAAAAATTTCCTTCTCAGTTAAAAACACTACAATCGCTACGAATATTTCCGTTTTTGCCTGTCTTGACTCCGACCCGGCCCAGCTTGGTCATCGCGGTGGTAAAAGCCTGTTGAAAAGCAGCGTTGTCTTTGGCCCAGGTTTTTACCGTGGGCTGAGACCTTGCATCCGTGAAAAGGACCTGGTCTGAGGTAAAAAGGCCTTGCCCAAGTTCAAGATTCTTGAAATAGACGTTGTCAAAGGTTCTGGGCGTGTTTGGGTCCATGTTGATGGCTATGTCGGGGTCCACATTTTTTGGACACATCTGTTGGAGTTGAGTTGCATATGCTTTGTTCAGACTGGGGTCCACTGGGTTCCCGGGACTGAAGCTGTAAATCCGATTGGAAAACTTGTTGCAATGAGAGAATCCAACGGTGTGCGCCGCTGCAAAAAACATGATGCTGCTTTTTAGTACCATAACAAGTTATCTACACAATCTAACAAGTTAAGGATAACAAGTTAGTGAAAAGTTGTGTAAAAAACACAGTTGCTAAAAGCACAAAAAAAAAAGTCATTAAAATCTCAAGTATACCATGTTTCTTGCATCATTTAGTGTTTGATGTGTCCCAATCGAAAGAAACTAATTAGGTGAGACACCTGGAATCCTTATTAATTAGTGTCTAAACCCACACACTCGATAAATTATTTGTTTCGGTTATTAGTCACGTCACTCATCTGACCATACTTAAACAAAGGAAATCTTCTGTATTTTAGTCCCTATGACCTCATACCAGTGGCCGGATTGGATGACTTGGTCTAACCATCGGACCAAAGAATTTCTCCCCGCACACACAAACACCCATCACGTTATGATTGGTCAATAGAGACACGGTCTTACCTGAAAGAGCAACCATGTCAGCCTGGGACAACCCATGGGAAGCAAACATGGAATTGAGCTGGTTCAAATTGAAGGTTGGCTGGGGGAGCTTCCCATCAACATTTTTAGAACTTGAAATTAGTCCGTCCAATCTCCCCAACTCAACAGCATACGAAGGTCCACCAGACTGCATTAAATAATTAACACATTTAATTGTCATTAACATCAAATCCCACCCCCACCCTTAATTAAGCAGCACAAGTTAATGTGATCATGAACAAACCAGAACAATGACATCTCTGGTGGCCAAAGCAAGAATATCAGCACATGAGACTTTGTTTTTGCACTGAGGAACTGCATCAACTGCTGCTTTGGCTTTGATCACTGTATCAAAACCATCTCCAGCTAATGACAGATTATCCGGATGATCCTTCTCTGCTTTGTTGTTTCCAGTGGAAGCAACTATAACCGAAGCATCACAACCCTAAATCATTTTATTTTTCACAGCACAAAAACAAACATCAGATTTTGATCGAAACCCAAGTAAACAAAACTTGTCAATCTTTGAGTTTCTTATGGCAAATTTAGCAGTTGAGTTACCTGGACAAAGCAATCATGGAAAAAGAGACGGATGGTTGCTGGGACTGTGACAAATGTTTGTTGAAATTTCTGAGTGACAATATTTTTTACAATGTTTTCGACATTGGGGCAGACGTTGGCATAGAAGTTTGTTTTTAGCTGCGCCGATGTGGGACAGAGAAAGAGGCACAAACTGAGGCAAAGCGACCAAACAAGTATAGGATTGAGCTTACCCATGTGAGCAAAAATTGAATTTAGCAGGACACAGGGGAAGAGAAGAAGCAGAGGACTTTATATAATTTGAATGAGAGACTGAGATTGAATGGTGTGGTTGGCTGGAGAAATATATATAAAAAGAACTAGATGATGGCTAGAATACCAGTGCTAGTAGTCATAATATAAGTGGATATTTATTGATACTATTCCCTAAAAGAGGGGGAAAATAAATCATGCCGTCCATTTATATTATAATACGTATACAAGATATACCACGTGACCATACTACTATAATATTCTATAATTTCTCCTCCTCATGACCTTATGCTAGTTGGATTAAGCATCTTTCTTTTTGATGTAGCTAAGAAGGTTCATGCTAAAGCATGCATCTTGAATGTAGACTATATGTAGTGTGTTGAAAGAGACCTTGATTTGGGGCTGTGAAATTGCCAATTTGCTTCCTTTTCTTTGTCTAGCTATTGATGCCCTGCAAACTTGGTCCAAATTTCTGAGTTTATGCTATAATTTGAATATTAATTAATTAGAGGATAAATAAAAATAAAAACGTGGTCCATGTAAGAAACACCCGAATAAAGGTAGAAAGTGGGTTTGGAGGCTTCTAAAATAGACAGACGTAAAATAGAACGTAAAATGCACGTTAAGGTTTCTGTGGGCTGTGGGTTGCTATACCAGAATAGTGGTGCTGGACCAGCCACTTGCCAGAGATCTTTCATAGTTGAAACCAAAACATGATAGTAGGTTTGTAGGTTTGTTACCAGAAAACAAAAGGATTTTTTTTTTTTTTTTTTTTTTTTGGTTTTGTCAAAGTTGTTTTTTCAGGTTAATAAATGATATATTAACAACAGAATCTTATCTTTATAATGACATGGGAATGGTCAATTACCATGATGGATCATGCTGAATGTATTTTGCTGACTAGACTAATGAGAAAGTAGACCTAATTTTGAGAAGAGTACCAACTAAATTGCTGTACAATAAAACCAACGGAAATAATTGCTCTATTTTATGGAGCTAATATATATAAGGCATTGATCTCGTCTATGTACGCGTGAATAACTGATAATTATTTATTATAATTGTAGATCTGTACAGAGAGTGTGAACCGCTGACTTATAATTTATAAATGAATACCAAGTTGGTGTTTGGCCTAGAAGTATTAAACAACGTTGGAGTAATCTCTCTTCTCATTTTCTAATTGAAGTTTTCTGGATCATGGCCTTGGAAAAAAATAAAGGGAAAAAAGTAGCGTTTTGGACGGTCCAAGAGAATATTATAGTTGATATGATTAGGGATATCATTCATGCACGTAACTTAATTATTATGTTATATTAATGATAATGTTTCTCATTCAAGGTGTCTATTATTAGTTGCCATGTTGTTGTCTGACCTAGGATAGGTTTGTTTACTCTGGTTTTGACAAAGTCTTACTTGATTTCCCCAAAATTACTAGTTACTTGCACAATTTATTTATAAAAAGTTGAGAAACTAACAAAAATAGTTAGGTAAAGTTGAAGCAGAAAGCAGTTAATAAGATGAACACAATTTGTGGGAATTTCATGCAACTGAAGGAGAAAAACTAAACTAAAAAAATCATGAGATGTGATGTGGTGGTAACTCACCTCATTCCTTAAGCATGAGGTTGGGGGTTCGATCCCCGCCTATGGGAATGTAGCGCATTTTGTGGCCAGCCGTTTACCTCCATTGAGAGAGCTCCCGCGGCGAAAGGGATTAGTCACTACTGTCGGCGGTGGATACCCTTGGGTCTCATCTAAAAAAAAGAAGAAAAACTAAAAAGAAAAAGTGAGGAAAGGATGAGGAGAAAATTCACACACCAAAAGTCTGGGTCAATCCAACTAACACCCTATTGGTCATTAGAATTATCTACTACTCATTTTTTTTTCATTAAAAGAAATAGAGAGAGAAATTATGAGTAGAGTACCCACAAAGAAACCAACATCTTATCTTATATATCTTGTCTGTTTTTAAAACTGCATCTTATATTTATTTGTCTTTTGAAATTAAAACCAATAGATTAGGAAGAGAGGAACTGATGGCTTGAATTTGATAGATGGTGGCACTTGGGGCCGCTACTAGCAGCCACGAGAAACCCTTCACATAACAACACACAACAATAAATTGCCCACTTTTCTCAAGTCAAGATGTGGGCCGGTCTTCTATCTTATAATTCAACTACGTCTATTTTGGCTTCTGAGAGGACTTAGGCCACGTGACAAATTCAAAGGTGAGATGGTCTATTTTGGTTCATTTAATTTCGTTTAGAAAAAAGTTTAGTATTGCTACCCGAATGATTGTTATGTTCTACTTACTCCATTAACTTTTAATTTGATTTTGAGTTCCCATGTTTTCAAATTCGTAAAAAATTATTTTAAAAATAGCTTGCATGAATTTCATATGAGTGTGAACATTAGAATGTTTCGAAGATTCAAGACTAAATTGAAACTCTAGAAGGCAATATAAAACATGGAAAATCATTCAAGGGGACATATGAAATTTTCGCTCTCTTTAAAATATTTAGGAGAATTTTTTATTACATTGAATGAAATGAATGACATTTTGTTGTTGTTGAAGAAAATGACATTTTAAGAGTTTATAATAATAGTACACCAATCGTTAAAATGACACTCATTCAATCATGGTCGGTTTTAAAATGACTCATTTGCCACCCCTCAACCAAAAAAAAAAAAAAACAATGATAGTCATAGTTACAATCAAATGGGCCCAAATCTCCTTTAGTCTTTCCCATAGATTGAGTTTTCTAAATTCGATCCAAAGATAAAAAGGTTGAGTTTCTAAATGCTTTCTAAAGAATAAAATGGGCTCATCTGTTCCCAAGCCTTAGTCTCTCTCAAACTCCAGAAGGCCAGCCCATATAAATTCCAATGTGTTTAGGAGTGTGACCTTCCTGGGCATGACCAATGTCCACACGAATATATCACGGCATACTAACATGAATAATAAACGAGTCGGGTTAATGTCAAATATGAGTAACTCCATTTTAATGGAATTGTAAGTATTTAGGAGTGAGTGAACAATTATTTATGAATAATGTATAAGTAAGAGGTGTAGTTCGGAAATAAAGGAAACTTAGTGCTAAATTTTCCATTCACTTGACACATGAATCAATCCAAATACGACATGATTATAAACGATCGTGATTACGAATCATGATTCACTAATTTTACGCACAAAGAGAAAATGACCCGATACGTAGACGACTCGTTAACATAAAGTATCACCCATAGAGGCTTTGTTGGAGCTCTAGAATGGGCCTGGACCATTACTGCCAAAGGAGAAGGGGCCCCACATGAAATCCAAAACTCTCCATTGATGATGACCTGTGGTGGTGGAAAATTTAGGGAAGCAGACAGAGCAGGGGTTGGACTTAAATTATTTGTCTACACCTATATATCATATATGCGTTAAAAAGAAAAAGAAAAATAGGTGCTCCTACCACTAGAAGCTAGGGCAGTACGATTATGTGACGTTTTGTGTTATAATTACGTGTATAGATATTTCGGGACTGATAAGGTATTGGTGGGGTTCCTTCCCCCACTGCACTGCAAGTCAGAGATGTTGAATTATTAGTGTACTATTTTTTATTTTATATGTATTCAGGCTATGAAAAGGAAGTTTGTGAAAAATCAAGGTGATGACATGGAACACACGGACATAGCTAAAAGCCAAAGTCTTGAGGTTGGAAGATTTTCAAGGCATGGTATGATGGGTGTGGCCAAAGGTCAGCTTCAAGAAACAACATGTAAAATGCCAACTATCTGGGGCCTTTTTCTTTTGCTTCTTGAGATGAAATTCCACACCACTGCCCTCCCTGCATTATTGCTTCATTTCCTATTGGGGTATGTTTACTTAAACCGGGAAATTCTAAAAATAGGATAATTAACTAATTAGAATTGTTCAACTACTCCTCTAATTGACCCAATTCATGGTTTTATGGTATACGGGATACTAACGTGGATACCGCATAACTTTTAATTCGTGTTCATTTTCATAGCGAGGAAAAGATTTACTTTGGTTGGCATGACAAGCAATCCCATATGGTTGTACGGTCCAATCACAGCAGGCACTGCATCTAAGCCACTGTAGTCAGCAACTTAGCAACTCCACAAATGCCTAAAAGTGGAAGGTGTTGCTATGAGCTACTATGTGGGAGAGAAAACGCCACGTTTACAACCACTAACTCCCAAATCACGCATTTGCTTTCCGAAACAATAATTTAACATTACTTAGATCGAAGATTCCACCATAGATCATCATTAGCATTAAATAATTTTATAACCCCCGACTGTTTGTTTTTGGTTCCCCGGAAAATGGAAAGGAAAAATTATTACTCTTTAGTTTATTGTTGGCTTGGCACTTTAGTTTTTATAATTAAGCCCGTGATAATGAACCGAACCAATAATTTGCATTGACAGAAGGTCGTGACCCTAATTAATCTTCTCAAAAGATGATAAAATAATTAAAATGAAAACCAGGACATGCCCACGTCTCAAGAAGAATCTTAATTAATTTATGTATTAGTCACCTTTCTGATTAAAATTTGCAAGGAAAAAAGTAGACCAAAAATTTATCAACAAGTGCTACTTTCTTGTACAATATTAACTTTTAGTTTTTGTCAACACCGTCTAACCCAGTGAAAATAGGTCTTAATTTATAAATAAGATATCTCAAATTTGAACCCTCATGACAGCTTCGTTATGCGTGTATATGAGAAACTCCACTCCCCCGTACTTTAAAAAAACAGGCTTTTAATCTTTATGGAAAAAGTTGGCTTGAGTAGAAGAAAGAAATGAAGGAAATAAAGTAAAAGGAGAAAAGATAGATGATCATTTAGCTATCTTTTTGCCGTTGTTGTATCTTATAATTGTTTAGAAAAATAACTTTTTGTGTGTGTGTGTTTTTCTTTGGCATCTTAAGTCAAACACGCATGCATTACATAATTTGTCTTCACTGTTTTTACATAATCCACTTGCACTTTGAAATCTTGCACTATTATTACTTATCGTTTTATTGGTTGAAAGAAGACGCCTAATAAGTCAAAAGAATATTAGCAATTTATGGATCCAATTAACCTCACATCCTTCTGTGATTAAGACATG